CCCTATATATTCCTCACCCGCCCGGGCTGCTGAGGCGGGGGGGAGAGCGGCGTGGGTTCATCACCAGGGAAAGGGACCAAAAGCCCTTTGAGGAGCTGGAGGCCGAGTGGACTGCGCTGATCCCCGGGCTTTGCAGCATCTTCCTCGGCAGAGCCTTCCCCGAGTCGCTCCTTGTTCGAAACTGCTTCTCCCTGAGCATCCCTCAGCTGGGAGGAGGTGTGCGGCCGCAGGCTCGGCTCTCCCCGCCACCCAAAAGCGCCCGCCGAGTTGTGCCTTTTGCGCCTCGGTTTCTCCGTGATCCGTGGTGGGATCCTTTCGTGCTGCTGATCCCTCTTGGCCGTGGCACCCGTCCCCGGGAGGGTGCAGGCAGCCCCTGCCAACTTCAACGCAGTCCCAGGGCTGCTCTAACGTTGCGCAGGGGACTGGGCAGAGCTTCAGGCCAGCCCTGCCAGGCAGTTGGGGATGGCGCAGGGGAACCCCATCTCTCCGTGGTCTCCCGAGTCCCTGCACGGAGCGAGACTTGGCCAGGCTGCGTCCGGAGCACGTCTGCTGAGCCAGGTTTATGTAAGCGCTGATTTGCGGTGTCGGGAGATGCCAAAGAATGAGCTTGCCTTCAGAAAATGTATAAATACATGGCATCTGGCCCAAGGCTCTACCAGCAGCCCGGTATTTGTCTTGGTCCTGGACCCGTGGAGAGATTCTGCCTGCTCTCAGCTTGGCCTCGAGTCTCTGCCGAGCACTTTTCAGGAGCGGGGATGGAGCAGGAGGGCCAAAAGTCACTGTCACTCTGCCCTTTGTAGTGGCATCTAGCGTTGCTTTTCTGGCAGACCTGTGAGTGCTCCTTGCGTGGGACCATAAGCTCCCCTCCAGCTCACCGGCGCGGCAGGAGACGCTGTGCCGTAATGCGGTCCTCCCTTGGCACGCTCGGCATCGTCTCCCGACCGGCGGGATGCAGGGCCAGGCAGGTCACCGGTCAGACCCAGGGCATGACGGTCCCGGCTTTCCTGTTTTTAACATCAGTCCGGTGTCACTGTGTCTTCCTCGGCAAAGGTGCTGAGCCCCAGCCCTTCAGGAGGGCTGCGGGCGGGCAATGTGCTTCCCTTCTTGTGCCAGAGAAGGGAAGGCGGCCTTAGATAATGCTGCTTATTCCAGGAGCCGGGGATTAGGGAAGAGAGCTGACTTCCAGACTCCGGGAGAGACAGGCGCCTGATCCTGCACCGCTTGCTGACCCAAAACAAGCAAGATCTGGCTTGGGATCAGTGGGACACTGGGCTGCGTTTGCTGGCAGGCTTAACGTTGGCACATTGCTGCTTTTTGTTGCAGGTGGGAAGGCAGCGGTAGCTCACTATGGCCCTGGCAGACAACGCGGGCTGTGCCAAACCCAGCGAGGACTTCCCTTTCCCCGAGATCATTGAACTCAACGTGGGTGGACAAGTCTACATCACTCGCCACCCCACCCTGGTCAGCGTGCCTGGCTCGCTCCTCTGGGAGATGTTCACCCAGAAGAACGTCCGCTCTCTGGCCCGTGACAGCAAGGGACGGTTCTTCGTGGATCGGGACGGCTTCCTCTTCCGCTACATCTTGGATTACATGAGGGACCAGCAGCTGGTGCTGCCCGACCACTTCCCAGAGAGGAGCCGCCTCCAGCGAGAGGCCGAGTACTTCATGCTGCCGGAGCTTGTGAAGATGCTGGCCCCCAAGCTCAGCAAGCAGAACTCACTGGGAGACGACCCATGCCAAAGCGACCCGGAGGAGCTCTCCCCCAGCGCGGATGCCACCCGCAACCTCACCTCTGCCAG